CATCCCCTCGAAGTGTCTACATATACCTATGGTACCACCCCTATGCTGCCGTGCTAAGGGAAAACGCCGTATGAGCCTTTATATGTTGCCATATTTCCTATGATAAAAAACAAATTCAGCGGGAGAATGGTGAATATGTTTCATCAAATTGTTTAGACATTTGTACTTGTAATTTTATTTAAAATATTCGGAAAGTTTAAGGGAAAATGTGCAAGACTTTCCTAAAAAATGCATGTTTTATCCAGGGAAATTTGGTAACGCGCGAAAGTTCAAAGTTCTGCCTCAGCACGGCAGTGTATAACTCCCAGGATTCTTGCCTGTTTTCAGAGTGGTTCCCTTAAAATTTTGGGGGATCCAAAAGTCGATCCTATTAAGAGCACTCATCAAATTTCAAGTTTCTATCCCAATCAGTTCAAATCGTCGTTTCCCTTAAGAAAAATTGTAGCTTTACTTCAATGTTGCCAAATTTCCCCTCAAAAATCGCATATTAACCAGGAGAATCTTCGGCATTACAGACTGAAAATGTATCTAATTTTTCCTCAGATCTCATGCCATAAATCAGAGGAATTTTGAATAAAATTGAGCAGGTACATTTCTGTAAAATAAATCACTTTTTTGAGTCGATTTGACAACCTTGGAATGGAGTTACGTTCCCATGCCCGGGAAACAAAGAAATTTTACAGGAGTGATGCCAGGTGCTGGTGGTGCAGGACTTTTGGATCATCATGTAGAAGAACTGAATGACAAATGAATGTTTTTTCCCGTTGCTTCTCACAACAATGCGTCTCTCTACATTCTCTACTTTATCTTTTTATTTAATAGGTATTCCAAATTACCTTCAAAGTGCTGTTCTATTATGTGGAAATAAATATGCTTAATGGTCCGATTTTAGACTTCATAATCCACCTTATCGTTGTCAGTTATCGGTCAGAGAGAACAAGTAAGGAAACTCAGTTTTCCTTCAATTCAGTGATTATGCAATCTGGCCTGCCCAGGAGTTAAAATAGTTGTATCACGTTGTGTGGCATCTCAGCGTATCGTCATACTGGCCCAAGCATTTTTCATGTTATAATGTAAAGGTATAAGGTTTTCGAAGGATGTTAGTAGCAGGTTGGGGAAAAAACAAATCGGTACCAAGTAGGTAACATTTTGGTATCAAAGAGGTATCTTTGAACAAGTTGAGACCATGTTGCAAAACTTCTGATAAAATAGTGACATAATATTACCTCAACTCTTTAATACCGACATGGTCGTTTTTAGCTAAGACGGATATCTTATACTGCCGTGCTAAGTAAAAACGCCGCGCCGTTTAAGCAATCGAATGTTGCCATATTTCTTTTTTGTAAATATTTATCTTGGAAGAAAGTCGCGTATATTTTTCCTTGACATTTTCCAACTTCTTCAATCAATGTACGAACGAAATCCTCTGACAGTCGGAGGGGAAATGACGGGCTTAGAGGACAAGGGGCATCAGTGCAGTTTTGGCTGTTTGAAGTATCAAAATCACATGGATCATGGATCCTTATGGCGGAAAGAAAGTCAAAGCTGACTTTTTGATGCTTAAAAATTGGAATTTTGGAGCGAATTTTTCACAGAATATTTATTGAGACTACTTGTACTTGGAATCATTAAAATCTCACTTTTTTCAAAAACTGCACGTGTGCGCTCTGTCCTCCAAGCTCCTTAAATATCCATGAATTTTCCTGAAAATTCATGATTTGTCCAGGACCGGATTTACCTACTTGCCACCCATGGGCCGCCTGTATTTTGCCGCCCCCCTCTCATTCGTTTTGAAACATCAATAAAAACCATCAAGTGAACGTGCCGGAGGAGGAGGGGTGCACAAGACACGTTTGCCTACTCGTGTTGGATACATTTTTTGCGGAAGCCCTGTCAACACTACTAGCAAAATTTCACGGAACTTCGCGCGAAAGTTAAGTTCCGTAAACCTATCTCTGTGTGGACAAGGTCCTCCGTTTATAAGAAATGAACCAAAAAACTATGAAAGAACAAACACAAATGTGGTTTAATAATTTTAACTTCCACCGCCGCGCCGCGCCGACCAAACCGCGTTTGGTGCAATGCGTGAAGTATTCACGCAGTCTTGTAGGCGCTCCGCGCTATGCGTTTCACGCTAACCGCACTGTGTTTGGCGCAATGGCGCAATGTGTGAAGTATTCATGCAGTCTTGTAGGCGCTATGCGATTCACGCCAACCGCTCGCGCTCCTGACCGCACTGTGTTTCTGTTTGGCGCAATGGATGAAGTATTCATGCAGTCTTGTAGGCGCTAATATGTGTTACATGCCGATCGCCACGCCGAGGGGTTGTCTTTTTCATCTCAATCCTCGTCATTTTTGGCAGCGCCTGAATGCCCATACGGCATACTCAGCACGGCATTACAGGCAAGGAGCACTGGAAAAAGGACGTCAGTTAACGTCGTAGGACGGCATTACACTATGCGCAAGTCCTCGTGGTAGGTTTCAAAACGCTGAAAGGTGTAAACTCTGACGGAACTTCAACAGGAGACAGGATCATCCTAACCACCCGCAAGCCAGCCTTCGTTAGCGGTATCTTTGGCGGAAATTAGATCAAAGTTCCGTTCATCAGAGTCGCTCATACTTCCGCTATTGCCCTTCGCGAGTTCGCGGGAACAATCGGATTACATTCTTGAGAAGTCGCAGCGGGGAATGGGAGACGGGAGACCGAGTTCGAAGCGTGAAATTCGAGGTAAGTACAACACTTGATTGATATTGGTTGCTAACTTGCGGAGGCAGCGGGGTTAGCTCATGTAAACAAAAATCATGGAGACGCGGAAATCCGTGTTGCCAGCAGGCCGATTATTGAAATTGATAGACAAAGCTATAGACAAAGAAGACAAAAGAGATATGGAGAGATCCTATTGGCGGAAACGAGTGGTTGCAATGGGAAAAGGAGTGGAGTATAATAGACTAACTACCGGCGACCCACGAGAGACCCGACATTTAGTCTATCATTTTCTCCCTTTGTCTATAAGAACCACCCATTTCAACCAATAGGATCGCCCCATACTCCCTATGTCTTCTGTTTCTATAGCTTTGTCCATCAATTTCAATAATCAGTCCGCTGGCGGGCTACCGTGCTAAGGAAGAACGCCGTATGAACTTTTAGGAGTTGCCAAATTTTCTTTGGTAAATTATGAATTTTCGGGAAAATGTGTAAATATTTTTCTTCCAGTTTTTCAGATAATTTTGTTTGTAATTTTACCTAAATGTCTCGCAAATGTATCGGAAATATATTCATAACTTTCCTCAAAATTAAACATTTTATTGAAGGAAACTCGGCAACTCTCGAATGTTCATACGGCGTTTTTCCTCAACACGGTAGAGGGGCTTTCCTTAAAAAAAAATCTTGTTCCAGATGCTTCATCGCATTTGATAGGTACTTCAAGAAGTTTCGTAAATTTCGTGAAAATAGCTGTGATATTCAATTTTTCAAGGTTTTAATAAAATTCCAAGGGAAAATATCATGGAATTTCACCGAGAAGTTTGTAAATTCTTAATGTTCATAAAATTTGTATCTGAGCTGAATGAGTCCATCATTTTCTCGTTTGAATCCATACCTATTTATCCAAAATTGCGCAATTTCTGTTTACGGCGTTGCAGATTTCCTGTCACATTTTATTTTCTACGTGGAAAACTAGTGAACGCTATTTAATTGATAATTTTTTCTTCCCTTCCTAGAGAATATCCTGTGAAAACTTCAAGCAATGGTGTCGGTTTGGTCTCCATCCTTATAAAAATAAATCGTGATGAAGATTTCAAAACACCGCAACCGAGTTACGCTCTTTCGTTTTTCACCGTCGACATGTCTCCAATGAGCAGGAGGAAGCAATTCGTAATCTTCCAACCTTCGGTCAACTCATTTTCAGAATCCGGATTCCTTACCTGGAGCCTAGCCATCGGAAATGAGTTATTGATAAGTTCTACCTACACAAGCGACAAATATTGTTATTAAAAAAATGAACATCGAAGCTAAAGCACCCAACGTATGTAATTCAAATGAGGCCTTGAGAAAAGAGAACTTTAATAATCATGAAGGAATTGGGGAGGTGTTGCTATGCATCAAGCTTTGGTGGCATAGCATAGCAGCACCGCGGTAGGAGCGCGGACCAATAGGATGCCGAAGATGAGTGCAGCGCTTTGTCTTGGGTATCGCGTGCCGCGCGCGGGACGGAGACCCTGAGATATGCGCAGCCCATTGGTCGCATGGTGATCGCGAATCATATAAATAGTGGACTTTGACCCCTAACGTTCATTCCTGGTATCAGGCAGTCAAGCCCGAGGTTGTCTTGCCATTTCCTTGCCCGCACCCCTAGCAGCTTTCGTGCACCAGTTCACCAAGTTCACATATCTCCTACATCCATTATAACACTTTACATTCATGGCTCGTCCTAAGAAGGTCACCAAAGACAAGCCGGTGAAGGAAGAGAAATCCGCCAAGGCTCTAGCCAAACTTCCACGGTTGAGGAAGGATGGAAAACGTTGGAAGAAGCCAGTTTTCACTATGAAGCGTTCAATTTTGGCCGTGCTCAAGCAGGTCCATCCCGACCGAGGGATCTCGAAAGCCTCTATGGAAATCATGCACAATTTTGTTATGGACATGTTCGAACGAATCGCCATTGAAGCCGCGAAATTGACCAAAATGTCATCAAGAACTTTGTCGTCTCGGTGCATTCAAACTGCTGTCCGCCTCATTCTACCTGGCGAGCTGGCTAAACATGCTGTATCCGAAGGTACGAAAGCAGTGACCAAGTACACCACCGCCACCAAGTAATCTGTCTAGCCTAGCAGCTTCCTTGACCTCATCTTTTAAAACGGCCCTTTTCAGGGCCACCACATTTTGAGCATACATCTAAACACCTCTCCTAGCCCAAACCCAACAAATTGCAATTAATGCAACAGGATGTTAGCTGGTTGTGTCAGAGTGCACCTTCGCACCTACTGCAATGACAACTTTTTCTCTAGTGTCTAGTCTTCGCACTATTGAATTGACATAATATGAGGCGCAGTTTTGCACCCCGGAGTTAAAGTTATGAATTGGGAAGGAATGAATTCATAATGAAACTTTCGGCAAAACGTAATTTTTCGATCTGTTTCTCATCGATGAACGTTGAAGACAGAGGCGGAAAATAGCGAGTTGCGAGATAGAGACCTATAAAATACAACAGAGACTTACATTAGAATATTTTGAGATTTTGACTTCGAGTAATTTTGGACCGGTAATCCAGGATTGCGCGAATAGAAGCCGCTACAAGAATGCATGAATTTAATTTAAGGTAGAAGTTTGGCAAAACAGGAAACAGTTGGAAAATAAATGCATTTTGACAAGTCATCGATGTCTCACCATCAGGTGATAAATGAAGTGAAAAGATTTAAAAATGGTCGTGGGTTAAGAACTATTCTAACTTTTCTCGGAAAAATATTTAATCGAAAGAAACGAGGCAACGTTGGAATGCGCGTACGGCGTTGGCTTAACATAAGCCTTTAAAGCCCTATTATTCGATGCCACGATTATCCTAACGCGAGTTCAAGTAATCGCGCCAAATACAGCGCGGCAGGCGTTAAACATAAATCAGCGCCTGCAAGACTTTAGGAATACTTCACGTATTGCGCAAAACCGTGCGATCGGCGCACCCGCCGCGCACCGCCCATATTAGCGCCTACGAGACAGCATGAATACTTCTCGCATTGCGCCAACCTCACTGCAGTCGATCAGTTGATGTGAAACGCATATTAGCGCCTGCCAACATAATTTTTGACTTTCTGGTTTAGTTTTTACCATAATTCAAAGGAAAATATCGACGGTGAAACTACCAGACCACGTATCTCGTTTGCGGTGTTTAAAAATCTCCACTCACATTTTATTTTTTTGAAGGAGATCAATTTGAAGGAGATTCATGTGGAGAAATTTCGAATTAGAGAGGTTCGAACGTAGAGAGGCAAATGGGCGGATTTACGTCAAAAGGAACCAAAAATATCAGTTTATTTCTTTACGGCGGTACAAATTACACTAAGTTGTTATTAAGTATTAATTATTTATATTTAATTTTTAAATTATTAATTACATGTTTACATTTTGAAAATCCTATCAGCTCTTTCAGACACCCAGGTACATAAACAGTTGACTTCGAATTGTAGAGGGAATGTACCGTCTTATTTATATACCGTCTAATTATAGAGGGAGGACCATATTTACTTCCCACACCTCGAATTACAGAGAGAATTTTCGTCGCAATTTCGAATTATAGAGGGCGGGCGCCAGCTTAAAAATTTCGAAATAACGAGGGGAGAAAAATACATCGATTTTCTTCGAATTATCGAGAGATTTTCAAGGGAAACAGACTTTCCTTCGAATTAACGAGGTTTTCGAATTATCGAGGTTCTAATTATCGAGAGTCCACTGTAACTCCTCGCTTTTCACGAGTCAGTCAACGGGACTACTGAGTACAGCTTGGAAGAAAGGAAAAGTCGAAGAGAGCGAATTTTCCCTTCTACGCGGCAATCCTGGACAAATGGGGAGCGGTGGGGCCACCTGAGTGATGTCACAATTGCAAGAAGTCAATTTTTCAAGGGTGCCAGGCGTTGCGGGTTGCGTCCTCTGTTTTCGCAGGCGGTAACGCTACGTGCGCTCTAGCTTCCCCATTCTCCACATCCTCCAGTTCTATCGTGCTAAGGGATAACGCCGTATGAGCCTTCAAACGCTGCCAAGTTTCCTCCGATAAAAACCTAATTTCCTGGGAAAATTTGAGAATATTATTTTCCGCAACTTTCGGACAATTTTTTACGTAATTTAATCTGAAAAATCGGAAAATTTCGAGGACAAATATGCATGAATGTTTTCAAATATATATGTTTCAGAGAGGGAAATTTGGCAACTCTCGAATGTTCATACGGCGTTCTTCCTTATACAGCAGAATTCACCTGCGACTGCCAATAACGTGACGCGAATGATCGATTATCGACATTTCTCCATTTGAAGCTATAATAAAGAATCGACTATTAAGGTGTTCGCTGCGAACACCTTGATAATCGATCCTTTTCCATACATTGAAATGGCAGACCAATCGATATATCGCATCGTTATTATCGATATTGAGTGAACTCGTTCGATAGATCCATACCTTTGCAATGCTATCTATCGATAGTGGTCAAGTCACTCGATAACTGTTTAATAATCCATGCACTGACAGTGGCGTGGCAGTTTTGATCCGGCTAAACATAATGTTGGGGATTTGAAATCAATTTTCTTGAAAACTCGATTTTTTTAACTGGAAAACTCTATTTAATCGTATCGATTTTATGCAATCAGATTAATCCTGTAACTTTTTTTTCGAGCAAAATCGAAAATTCCGGATTTTGCTGTTCGAATTTTTTAAACCGTCAAGTTAGCCCATTTTTAAAACCAAAATTTTAGCAGCTTCCCGGAAATTTTAATTTTGAGCATTCCTTACTTTCGATTTTTTTAATTTTTATTTTTTTTAACCGATTTTTCGGGAAATTTATTTTTTTTTGTCACGATTTAAATCGATGAAGTCAAATTCTTGAAGAAAGTTGAATCTGTTCGATTGATCGAATTTGTCGAAAAGCCCCAACACTATCTACTTGAAAAGCACTAAATTAGAGCCCTCTCCCACCTCACGACATCGCCCGATTCCTCATAGCTTAGTTAAAAATGAGACATTTTAATGCTCTGGCCTTTCTGGGAGCGTCATATTTTGCTAATGCATGAGTCATTCTGTGCGATCATTGGTGTCTCGTGCGAATTAAAGGTCAAACTCGGAGAACATTTCACATGATTTCCCTCAGCGAGGACTTGCCGACTTGCGTGCGTATTTTGCACTTGGGTACCAATTGCACGAATTTATGCAAAAAGGAACCATGTTGCATTGAACGAAAATGCACATAGTTCCTTTCGGCATTTAACACGTCCAATAGAAACGACTGATCCATCAAGTGGTAGGACGGCTTAACTACACTGCAACGTTGCGAAGTTTTACCTGTCAATTTGTTTATACGAATATAAATAGTGTTTACAGAAATGTGAAAAAATTAGGATTTATTCAGGATCCTTGGAGCACCCATAGCATATGTTTTCCAAGTCGCGGTCTACAATTATTGGTAATTTCAAATTAGATCGACTCAACCTCTGTGAAATTTGCTTGTAGCTGAAGAAATCCGTAGTATGTATGATATGTATGTTATGTATGTATTATCGAGGAAAGCTTATTCCACCTGACAACCTGAACCAGACTTATAGACTACGGCTGTAAGAGGAACGTATTTTTCACACGAGAGTGACTTCTAATTTTACGAAAATTAGAGCAGATTCCTGATATTATAAGCTAATGTGGCTAAGAGCCTCATTTGCATTAAACTTCAATCATTACATATTAACATATTCTTTTTTTTATCAAATTATTGACTTTCATAGACGTAGGTATCAATGCGTCTATCGGTAAAAGCGGAAATCAAGCGCGCAACTATTCGAACTCCGGTGTGGGTGTGTGGTATCACTCGAAAATGAAGGAAAATCTTACGTAATGAAAGTTCGGGTTCTTGGCAATATGTCGCACTCAGGCTCGATGCGCCGGTTTCATCCATTCATGATAACGCGCAAAATACACGAATTTTCAAATTTTTCGGGACCTCGAATGAAATTCATGGAATAAAAATTAGTTGTATGATCGGTCACGAATTCCTCCGAAACTTCCGAACTGGTTCGGATCTTTCATGACCTGTAGACACTGTATGAAAAGCATTGTACTCCAGCATATAGACTGTTTCGGGGCTTTCAGGACCTGTAGACACCGTTTGAATAGCATTGCCAACACTGTAGCATGACATGTGTTTTGTGCAGGGTTGCCATAATTTTTTAGTCTTTAAATTCCCCGATTTTCCCAAACTATTTTTGCTTTTCTTCGATTTCAAAATTTTCTTGTTCCCTAACTTACCGGGGCCTGAGAGCAAACTTTCACTTTTTACCCCTTAAGTCACGCTGACTTTTGCCTAACTTAATACGAAATTTTCTTATTCAGAAGTGAAATAGACGTATTCTGGCAAACGGACATACGTGCATAACGACGTGAGCCCTGTTATGCACGATACTTTTGGGTCTGAGGGCTCGTGTCTTAATGCACATAGTTCCGTTTGGCAGACATACGTCCAAATGATAGAAGAAGACATTGAGGGGCAGGTAAGAAGATGACAATCTTAAACAAGCAGTTCCAACGCCCAAGCGTTGAAGGGCGCTTCTTTGACAAAGCATAATACTACCAACTTTTGTACCCGAAGGCTGACGAGGATGGATATCGAAGTAGGATTCTTTAACCGCAAGACCCTTCAAAACTACAGATCGATCGCGAAGCTCTGTAACTAGGCTTGTGACCGCGATCGCAGTAGCAGGTAAAAATCACTGTGATTCTTGAGTAGCAGTGATCGATCACTGTGACTGGCGAGGAACACCTGTTATTCTGCTCTTTTTTGGGCAGTTTTCATCAAAAGTTAGTCGCTGATAGTTAAACAGTGAGTAACCAAAACTTTAGTGTTAAACGGCGAAAAAAATTTACGAATAAGCTTGCACATGGTTAATCATAGTCACAGTTGGATACACTGCGATTGCGATAACGAAGCAAAAAGAGCAGTAGCAGTTTAAAAAGAGCAGCATGATAANTTTTACAAACCGCCGGGAACTGGTATAAAGTTACTTTACCTGGTACCTACGTTTATACTAACGTGTTGAAATGAGGAAAATGAGGATAACTCAAGAAGCTTTTG